TTAATACCCAGTTCATATATCACCCCTCTCTGTATTAATACCCAGTTCATATATCACCCCTCTCTCTGTATTAATACCCAGTTCATATATCACCCTCTGTATTAATACCCAGTTCATATATCGCCCTTCTCTCTGAAGGTACAGCAGCTTGTAAAATAGTGAAATATTCACACAGACACACCTGAAGCTCTGCTTTAAGGCGGAAGAGTACAATACTACTTGTGTTTCCCTCAGAACAAGGACCATGATGCTCTCGGCACCCCAGCCCAGCTGTCCCCTGGGGTGTCGTCTTGCCCCTCGGCCTCATGGCTGGCCGGCAGCAGCCCCTCCGCAGCGCAGCAGCTCCTTCCTGTGCGTGAGGATGATGTCGTAGCTGGCCTGCAGGCGGTTCTGCTGGTCCTGGACCCGTCCCAGCAGGCTGCGCACCCAGCGGATCAGAGCCAGGCGCCGGTACATGGTCAGCTGCACTTGGTGCCGCTCCTTCTCCTTGGCCTTGAACCTCTCCTGATCCCGCAGGGTCCAGACAGCTTGGAGCAAACCGGGAAGAACCTGGCTGGGGTCCGAGTCTGAATCGGAGGCTGAGACTGCCGGAGCTGAGCCCTCCCCCTGCACCAGTGACCCCGTCCCCTTGTCTTTCTCTGTCTCCGCCTCGCTGCCACTCTCCCCCCCCCTGTCCCTCGGCAGTGCTGCTGCAGGGTCCCCTGGGCCAGACGGCGGGCTGTCTGTCTTTGGGTGCCCCCCACAGATCCTTTCCCAAACACACCCCAGGTCCCCAGCGTGCCCCTTGCCCTCCCCCTCGCCCCCACTCTCCGTGCTGAGGGAGGAGGAGCTGCTGGACCTACAGCTAAACTCTGAGCCACTCTCCTCCCCCTCCTCCTCCTCGTCCTCCTCTCCCTCCTCCTCCTCCCCTGCTGCCCCTCTCTCTGTCTCAGGCTTATCCTGGCCCTCTGCCCCATCCGGCGGGACCCTCCTGCCCTCCTCCCTGGTCTCCAGCACTGGTGCCAGGCTGCTCCAGCAGGGCAGGCGGGAGGAAGGCGGGCTCAGACTGGAACGGGCCTGCTGGTTGCACTGGTTCTGAAGCCGTGGACCCAGCCTGTTCCTGTTCTCGTCGCGGGTGAGAGGGCCCAGAGTCGCCCCCACAGACGTCTCTCCTCGCTGCTCTTCCCCGCCTGTGCCTTCCTGGGACAGGAAGTTGAAGTTCCTGTCCTTCTCCGCTGCTGGGTGGCACTTCCTGTCAGGCTGCTGGTTGCTGAGGAGATGTGATGAGGGGGACACAGGCCCCCCTCCTCCTTGCGGACCTCCAACATCCCCAAACGCAGGGCTCAAAGGCTGATCCTGACGAACCGCAAACATGCTGTGGTCTGTCCAGGCTGAGAGAGAGGGAGAGGGAGACAGAGGGCTGAGTGCACAGATGCTGCTGCCCCTCAGCGCTTGAAAAGCCAGATTCTCTGGACGACCTTCTCGAGTCTCCAGCTGCTCCAGGACCAGAGCTCTTGTTCCACTGTAAATCAGCACAAATATAAAGAGTAATAGAGTTTAAAATACGCCCTCGCCACGGATAAAACACCAGAGCTCAGACTGCTGCTGACGTCTGATACCGGCGCGCCCCCGTGGTCCTGAAGGACAGCGACTCCGCGCGCTGCGCGCTCTCGCTCTCCGCTGCACAACAGCACAAACAGGAAAGCGATAATAATCTACTGTCACTATGGCACTGTTACTATTACACTGTCTACGAACAACACCGCAATGCTAATAATCTCTTGGTTCCGACTACATCACGTAAAATACATTAAAAAAGCTGCTCAAGGCTAGGCGAGACCAATGAAAACTATCAGCGCTGTGTGCCAGTGTTTATCCGCGTCTTCCCTTCAGATCTGAATCTTTCCTTGGCGATGATGACCTCAGGGTTTCTTCTTCGTGAATTTAACTAAATAAGACACCCGACCTCTCGGCCGCGAAACAGGCTCCAACCGACAGTAGAGTGAATCAATTGAAATAGCAGCACAACGGCAGTGTTCGCATAGGCCCCGATTTCAAAGTGCAATAATAATAATGCTAGCTAGAAGAGAATCGCTCTCGGTGAACAGCGGGGTTATTTGAGACAGAGGTGCAGCTGTTCCAGTCCGCACCTCCGCGCTCTGCTCGGCAGACGGCAGAGCCCGGATGAGCCCCGTTTCCTTCTCACTGCAGGACTGACTGTCATCATCATCATCGGTACAGCTTTGGTTACTGAAAGGCTCGTTCTTACCGTTCCGTCCACCTGCTGCCGTGGTTTGCGACACCGAGAGCCGAGCACCGCGCTGTGTCGGACTGCCCCCTCCGCCGACCCGCCTCCGCCCCTCCCCGCGCGCAGACAGGGTCTCCCCGACTGGCGGACAGCTGAGCGCACAGCACCTGCAGCACGCGTCCCGCTCTCTCAGCTTCTTTTGTTTTTATTTTCGTAAACAGTATTGCGTTATGAACGGTGTATCATTGATCGAATAGCCAGAAAACGAAAATACTGCTTTTAAGAGGACAGGAGCTTGTTTCCTTCGCTGTGGCCCGGCTCAGACGGGGAAACAGCAGCAGATAAGCGGGCTGCTCTGACGCGCTCCCACAGGGAGAGACGGGAAGAAACACTCCTGCAATGGGGAGCGTGATACTGAGTGCAGGATGAGGGGAGAGAGAGAGATACAGGACTCGGGGGGGGGGGGGGGGTTGGGGGACAGACAGAGGCACCCCGCTCCCCGCACGGATCCCATGACGCGTCAGTGCTGCCGGCGCAGCGAGACCTCGATCACCCGCCTCTCGTCAACAACGGACCCATTCACAGGCTCCCGGGCCCTCGCCTGCTCCCCTCGCCTCGGCAGCAGCTCCAGCACATCAAAAATACATCAAAAGCGCTGCCTGCCTGCAGGCCTGCGTCACATGAAGAGTCATCCGGAGACCCCGAAACACAGCTGCCGGGGGGAAGGGGGTGGCGGACACGAGAGACGGATAAGAGTGATACCATCCCTGCGAACCCAACAAACTGAGCTTGAAACTGAACCAGCCGCCGGCCTCTCTCAGCAAGACACTCGAGCTCATCCTGTGCTTTGTCTCGTACGGCGTGTATTTTAAACCACACTGTCAGAAACGCCTCAGCGCAATAAACTCTAGAGAGAGCCAAACAGGAGGCGACATTCACGGGTGCAAGGCACACCAAATGGGCACCCCTCAGTCACGTCTAGGGGTGCGTCTCAGGCTGAGGGGCCCGCCTCGGAGCCGATGGCCTGAGCAGCTGAAACCACTATGCATGACGGCCATGTGCTGCTCCTGTATTTGTTCCTTGGCAGGGCTGTGGAGACCGCGAACTCAGGGCTCCCTCTTCAGCTGGCCAGAGTACAACAGGGCAACACCCCTCACTCTCCAGCTCACGGTCACTTACTAGGGGTGTGAACTGCCCCAAGCCCTACAGTTCCTGTAACCCCAGGGCTGAGGGTGTGCACCACAATCCTCATTTCAACTCTCAGATGAAGAACTGCCATTTCTCTGCTGCAGTAATCATGATTGCTGGCAGAAGCTTTTAGCAGGTGACATACGCTAAAAGCACACAACCCGTATCCGGCTCATAACTTTCATACCCCACATACTAGGGGGGATCACCCAGTGTAACTTCCCAAGGGAGGTATTCCTACAGCACGACTGAAGGGTACTGCTGGAATAGGCAGGGAAGGTCAGCACAGAGGAACTCAGTGCTGCCCCCTGCTACTGTAGCTTTTTCAGTAATGTTTGTGCTCTGCACTGCTGCCCCCTGCTGACCAAGGAGAGAAACTCAGAGGGAAAAAGATAATGGTGGTCAAGAAATACAATGAGATTGGAAAAAGGACAGAGAAAAAAACAGAAGATGGTGAGAGGAACAGAGGCCATAAAGAAGATGGAAGATAAAGGAAAGAAGACAGAGAAGGAGGAAAATGGACTCTTGAGACGGTGTTGGCTGGCAGTGCAGGGAGAGGGGGGGGACATTGATCATGCAGCTCAGCGTGGGGGGGCAGTGGTGACTCAATTTATCTCTTGCACTGGTAGTTTTGCACAACCAGTAGTGTAAGAAACGGCAATCACCTTCGTAACTGATTGATAATTCAGGAACAAAAATCAATGGAAGCAGACCGTACCAAGAGTCTGCCAGAACACTACGGCAATTCTGACATCCAGCTTCTCTTGGCCTGCAGCCGGATCAGAACTCATGCAGTTAATAAAGTCTGGGGAAAAGAGGGGACCCTTTTTTCAGATGGTTAGGTCCCTCGGGGTCTTTAAGAGCTCACTGGCCTCAAGGCCTCTGGAGTTCTGCCTTTATCCCCAAAAACCTAAAGAAACAGCAGCACCGTCTGCATTGCATGGCCAGCATCCAGCAAGACTGAAAAAACATTTCTTATCCAAGTTTAGGACATTAGAGTACAGTACTGCAAGCCTGAATGGGACTGAATTATCGTTACCTGAGCTTCCAGCTGTGCTTTGACTGTCGCAAGAGCACGATCCACACGGAGCCTCCCGTCGCCAGAGCAGGACAGCGGATTCCCAACAACCGTTTCAATAATTAGCCCCCCACCCCAACACACAACACCATTGGGCTTGTCAATAGCCCTGCAAATCACCACTAATTAATGAGATGTTAAGTGACTATCGCTCATTAAGTGCAGCGAGTGTGGTGTGGCTCCCACAAGCCCCATCAAACACAGCAATAAATTCACTAACAAACTAAAATTGCCACCACTGCAGGCAGGCTTGCTACAGAAAACTAATTAGTGGGGCGGATGAATTCCCCGTACAGTCCGAGAGTAAGACCAGTACCACCCCTGGCTGGACTGCCTTCCCCAGCCCTGCGGACACATCAGTACTTTCAGCATGGCTGTGCTCAACAATTGTTTTAGCAGCTAGAATGACAGGCCTGAGGCCCACACACAGCACTCTGGTCATCGATAGCAACAGCCTGCCTCAGTGAACACGCGCCTTGCTCCAGCTCCGTCTGCCTTATTGTGTATTTTACGGAGAGAACTGCGATTTCCATCTTCCCAAACATATTCAAAGTTTTCAGAATTATTTTAAAATCCATACTGCAGGTTAACCTGAATCCTGCATCTTCAACACAGAGCAAGGCAACCACACACCTAGAATTCTTATAATCTCTTTAATATATAGCCTAAAAACATCTGAAAAAAGGCTTAAAAAATAATTTACAACATAAAAACAATGAATGGACATGTGATCGGCAGGGGGAAGGGCCGCAGGGCTTGGGGCGTCCTCTGAGGCCCGAGCTCTCCAGTCTGGTATGAGGGACACCACGTGCCCCTGAGGGGTCGCTGCTATATCATGGCAGAGATCCACAGGGAGCCCCGAAAAACACAGGGTTTCTATCCCCACTGGTTGTAGAAAATGTTGCTTGAGCTGGTGAAACCAGTTTCTACATGTTGGGCATCACTGAGGTACGTCTACATCTGTGGTCTGTTGTGATAATGGTGGTCAAGACACCATCATCATCATCATCATCGCTAGTCTTCTAGCATCTGTAGGAACAGCTCTGCCCCGGCAGGGTGGGCTCTGTGCGAGTCAGGGGGTGAGGAGGGGGGGCAGTGTGGTCACTGCCCTGCACAGCCGCAATGTTGAGTAAAAGTGAACTTGGCAACTGCCCCGAGCCCTCCATTGGTGCCGGTCCAGCCCTCAGCTCTCCAGGTAGCGGAAGATGCTCCTCTGGGGTCTGGCTGGGGAATCTCTGCAGGGCCGCTTTGCGTCTGGGAGCGGAGCTTCTGCTTGGCCTCTCTTTACCTGGGGGGACACCAGGCACTGAACAACAGCCTTCCGCTGCTCAAAAGCGATTTCAAACTTTCAGAGAATGAGAACTTGGACATCAGCATAGAAACGAAAGGCGATGCCCATTCGCAGAAAGAACCAGAGCCTGTGCTCTCTCTGAGCCGGAGCTCAACTCTGGCAGCTCTGTCTGAGATTGTGCTCTGGGTCCTCCAAGCACAGCACCTCCTTGTGACACAAAATAAAGTACTTTAGAAATAAGCTTGAAGAGTGAAAGAAGAGAACAGGACACGGAGTAGGGGGATTAGCTGTGCAGCGTAGACTGCAGTGTCAAAGACGTCAGGTGCAAGTAAAAAAAAACTTTATAAAACACCTTTTTTCTTTTCAAATTTAACGCCTATGGTTAATTATTGTGGAAAAGAAACTCATCTCATGTCAAATAAGTAGGTTCGTTGAGCACGGCAAAAACGTAGGGCCAGAAATTGATACAGGATGGATTTTGCATTCTAGTGGCGTGATCCTTCAACATTCAACATCTCCTCAGGAACCAGGAGAAAACTGAGGATACCGCACAGGACACTTCAACCTGGCTGAACAAGAAAAGTTCCTTGATCATGTTACCTGCTTGTACCTTTTTTTAGAATCCCAGATTTTTCCAAATTGCTTGAGAACCTCAACGGTGATCATTAAAATCCAATCTGCCCCTGTATCGTACCTTTGTCAAGGGGCGCCCTCTGTCCCCCGCCGCCTTCTCCGGAGACAGCGTCTGGAACAGGAAGCCACGGGAGTTCCGGGGTGCATTGGGGTTCAAGTCCGAGATAGAGGCCAGTTTCTGGAGCACTGCCTTGGGCTGGTTAAGAAGAGAGCCCCTCTTCATCTAGGTGGAGGGACACAGGCAGGGTTCAGAGACAGAGCGAACGAGGGATAGAGAACAGAAAGAGATGTGAGAAAGTACTGGTCAAGGAGGAGTGTCTGAGAGACAGACAGCAGACAGACTGACCAGGCTGGGTGGGGCAGGCCTCTGGAAGGGCGTTTCCACTGAGACCTGCTTCTCCTTTGCTGGGACCACAGGGGCTTCTGAGAACAGAGAGGCAGCACAGGAGCCACGTGAGAGGAAGAGCAGCACGAAGTTCAGTGCCGGTCAGTGTCTGACGCAGTTTTATTCTTAAACTGGAGAAAACCAGTGCTCAGCTGTACAGGAAACACTGGTAGGTGCTCACCTTTCTGCTGCAGCTTCTTGGCAGTCAGTTTCTTGGCTAGCCTCATGAACTGGTTGCCCTCTCCTATATCCTCCTCCTCCTCCTCCCCTGCTCTGCTGCTGCTCTTTGCCTGTGCGAGGAAAGGGACACTGAGGCAGGTAGCCCAAGCCACACATTTGGCCAGCAGTGTCCCCCACGATGTTCAACATGCTCGGGGTGACAGAAACACAGACCTGCTCCTGGAGCCACAGCTCCCTCTCCAGCCTGTCCTTCCTCCTCTGCATCTCGGCCTCATCGAGCTCCTCTTCCTCCTCCTCTCCCTCATCCTCTCCACCCATCAGCCCAGCTGCGATTGTCTCATCTGCGGGGACAGAAATGCAAACCGTGGATCATGGGCTACAAATAGGGAGATTGTATTTATTACACAGGCACATTATACTTGCGCAATTTGGAATTCCCTGTTGTTTAACAGCGATTTGATTGCAATCATGCAAGGCAGGTGTTACAGTAAAGAAAAGAGTTTCTCCCTCCCTTCACCCTCACTCCCTCCCAGACTCTCGGAGACTAACCAATATTCCTCCAGCGGAACCGCCTGATCCGGCCCGGCCCGTCGGAATGCAGGTCGCCGTCAGCCAGGTAGCGCTCCTGATAGAGACGCAGCCGCCGCTTGTCATCGTCCAGCACCTGTTTCCTGCGGGCAGAGCACAGGCAACCAATCGATCAATCAGCCCATCAACCCGTCTTCAAAAGAGAGCCCCTTCAGCTCCAGAACAAGGCAGCACGATAGCACAGCAAAGCAGGACACGATTAAAATATGACAGACTCATGAGAAAAGATGTTTCAGTTACTAATTTAACTCAAAATAATTATTACTATAGCAACATGACATCGTTCTCTTCCAGACTGAAAGAAGATAAACTGTCCAAACCAAGGAAGCCATTACTGAACCTTGAAATAACCAAATAAAGCAGAAGTCGCCGGATTGCTGTAGGTCAGCCAGATCCACTCCTGCCCAAGCCAAGGACACTCACATGTGGATCCTGTTGACCTGGTCCTGCAACTCTTCATCAGATGGAAGCTCCTCCTGCAGCTCGTCTTCCTCATACTCGCTGCCCTCGGCCTCCTCATACTCATCCTCACTGTCCACCTCACTGCCAGACAGTTCAGCTTCCTCCTCTAGAAACTCCGCCAGACGCCTGACAGAAAGTGAGAGGGGTTGGTACCCACACAAAACAGACCCCGAGGGACCCAAAAAATGCAAAACGTTGAAGAAATCCTAAGAGAATCTTGAGCACCGGCAAGACCACAGAAAATTATAATGGACAGTGGACCAATTCAAACTTCCTACATGCCGCAACAGCTCTACTTACAGCTTGCGCTTTGATCCCCGCTGGACTAAAGCTTCTTCATCCTCCTCCTCCTCCTCGCACTCCTCCTCCCTCTCGCTCTCCTCCTACAAAGGAATGATAGTCGCTTGAGGCCTCCCTAAGCTCCTTTAAGACTGCCCTTCAGTGAGTAGGAATCTGTCGCAGTGCTGCTTCAGCTCAATCTGGGCCTACCCAGGAATCGAGGTGCGATTGATTTTTCCTTGGGGTCAATCGCGCTTATGGTGGTTGATCAGACCCGGGCTCACCTTGTCACTACTCAGACTTCCCACATCCGACAGCAGGTGGAACTCGCTGTCTTCCTCTTCCCGATCTTCCTCCTCCTCCTGCTGCTGGTGGTCCCCTCTGAAAAAGCACCATGATCAAAAACAGCCCCAGGTACAGTGTGACCTCTCTCGTGCAGAGCACGTTGTTCTCTCTAGCATGCCTTAGCCAAACGGTCATCGAGGCGGTTTTCTAGTTCTCTATAAACCACCCACAATTTCAAACCTGAAGAAAAGCTTAGGTGTGTCAACACCTCTACAGGTCTTTTACCATCAAAAGGCACCTGGAAAAGGTGCAGGACTGGACACCCCTGAAAGTGCAGTGAGGTGGTCAGCTGAGTGACTTGTCACACTCATATGGGGACCTGCCTGCTGTCTTGTGCCTGAAACCCCCTGCTGCCTGTCGTACCTGACTCCAGGCTCGGGGACTGTGTGCGGAGCGGGACCGGGCGACTTCTCGGCGGGAGAGGGGTCTGCAGGGGAAAGGACAGGAACATGATTCATTACACCTTCAACATCCCTTGCAGTACAAGCACAGCTATGAGCACGTACAGCCCTCACGCCATCACGCCCTCACGGCAGAGAGTCCTCACCTGGAGAGGTGAATTTCCCGGAGCACAGAGCCAGCAGTTCATCCACGTCCTCCTCCGAGGCGCCCCCACATTGCGCCTGCGCTGGTATAGACTGCCGCTCCGCCGCACTTCCTCCCCGAGTGGCAGAGTCCTGTGTGGCGAAGCTGCCCGAGCACAGCCCCAGCAGCTCCCCCATGTTCTCATCCTGAGAAGACAGGCCCCGGGCCTCCGGCGCCCCCCTGAGGCTGCCCTCATTGGTGACAGGCTGCAGTTTGAACGTGCCTGAGCACAGCCCCAGCAGCTCCCCCATGTTGGCATCCATGGCATTTTCATCCAGGCTATCCAAGATCAGCTGGCGCTTGTGATTCTGGTTCTGGTACTGGCCCTGCCCGGCCCCCCGTGGCCCTACGTTAAGGAAGCCATCAGCATCCAGCAGCTGGCTGTGAGTATCCTCTTCCAGAGAGAAGCGCCCCTGAGAGTCCCCAGTTCCCAGGGCACAGGGCCCGGGCTCTGCGTACAGGTCCTGGGAGTCCTCCACGGGCAGAGACAGGGAGAAGGAAGGGTTCCCCGAGCTCTGAAAGAAAGCGACAGTTCCGTGAGAATAACGGCGAGAGAAGAGAGGGCACAGTGCATGGGTGGCACAGAGACTGGGAAAGGCTGAGGGAGTGGGTTCAAGGTGCGAGAGAGTGCAGATTCAAGTGCGAGATGGACCTCCCATTGGCTTCGGCACAAAGAGATGGATTCAGGAAGAAGCTTGGGAGGCCGGAGCTCGGGAACACTCACCTTGGAGGTGGAGCTAAGGCAGCCGGGCCTGTACAGGCCTGGAGACGGGGAGCGGAACGCCCCCGCTGTCACGCCCCTCGCCGTAGCCCGGCCAACCGGCTGGTACGACGGGATCATGGAGCCAACCAGCTCGAAGCTGCTGTTGTGGCTGCTGTCCTTGGGCAGCGAGAGAGAGTCGTCGTCTTCTGCAACACACAGGGTGCCATTACAGCTCTGCGCTCTGTGCTTAGATTTAGCTAAAATGGGTTTGTGTAAATATTAACAGCGATAATGAAGTGGCTCCTCAAAGCCTGTCCAAAGTGGAGAGTCAGCTTATATTGACTTACTGACACTCCTTCCTTGCTTGACCCCTGAATCAGTCCACAGGCTAACACACAGCAGAGATCACTCACCCAGTTTGGAGTCTCCCTCCAGCCCAGCTGGTCCAGCTCTTCTCAGCCCATCCACGGTCTGCTCCCTGTGAGTGAGAGAGGGAGAGAGCTCATTCCAGCTACAGCACACAAATACAACCAAGCGCTTCCGCGCAGCTCCAGAATCCCCTGCCTGGGAGGACCATTACGCCACAGATAAGCGTCCACAATCTTCTGAAGGATCTACTGAAGAGGAAATGGCTTTAAAATCCAGACTAGTCTCCCCGAGTTTCAGTCAGGTTCCTCTGCGTGGTTCTCAAATCACCCTGGCAGCAGATGGACCCAAACAAAAAGGTCACCTTCCCCCCAGCTCACAAGGGAGTATCAACAACTACCCTAAAATCCCCTGCCTGTCCCCCTGCTCACCCAGTGCGTGAGCAGGAGCTCCCCGCGAACAGCAGCAGGGTGCCCTCAGTGGCCAGGGGGTCTGGCGGTGGTGAGCAGCTCCTCTGGGCTGGAGCATCACCGCCTTCAACTCCCTCCTCCCCTTCCTCTTCCCGGCCCAGCAGGGACTCCACACCCTGCAGACAAGGAGAGCAGAGAGATGCCATTAGAGATCAAAAAACAATACAGACCCTTAAACTGCAGGCTCCTCTCACGCTAGGCCTCATTCACTGAAAGAGTCAGCTGCCGTTACAGCCCCCTGTGAGGGCAGTGCCACCCTGCGTCAGGCTGTTGCATTAGTAACACACAAGCAGGTTTATTGGTTCTGCTGTGAGGCCATCTTGAGACATCACTTTTTAAATAGAATGACATACCTATGATTGGCTGTCTTCACTGTGCTTTAATACCTACTCTGTGTCTATCTATTCTTGAGCCAATACTTAAATAATAAAATATGCTTGTGAAGCCTAGTTTAGTTTAAAACTTCCAAAACCTCATATTGATACCTTAGGATTACTGTCCAGTCATCGAGCTTTCTGACCAGCACTCGGGTCAATACAGAAGACAGCTACAAAGTGGTGGAAAACTTGGCCTCCTACACCCAGCCTAACCTGGGGAGGAGACTTGTGTACAAGAGGGGTAAACTCATAAGACAGCACTAAGAGGGCAATGAACTTGAGAAGAGGCAAATGGTGGTGTAGACGCAACAACCCAGCATATCAAACAATCAGCCAGAAGTTTCACTGGCAACTCGTGACAAAGCAGCTTCACCTTGTCAGCAGGCACACCTTCTACAGACACTCACTGCTCTGCGCCTTCTCCTTGAAAGACAAACTTACCAGGTGACTCTGGTCTCCCAGAAGAGAAAAACATAAAAACGAAACAGACTGCACAAATCCAAATGTGTTCAAAACAGGTTCTCACAGTGGACATGACACCTGTAGTAAGGTGAGAGCTAAACACCAGTGTGAGGTAAACCATAATTTATCTGGCCATATTAAAAGTTAATATGTATTTATATATACACTTTCAAAAATAATAAGAAACAGCATAATTTAATTAAAATATAGACTTCATATTTACGTTTCTAAATCAAAATACTTTTAGAGTGGACAACTCACATACAAAGCAATATTCTTATAGAAGCACACCCCTGGAAAGCTTGGAGCACCTGACAGCATATTTCTTTGACCTCAGTGTGGGCAAAACAAATGATTTTCACAGACAACCTCCTACTGTCATTGTGTTGCTTTAAGGTTTTAGAAAGTTCATGAAAATGTCTGAAGAACTCAACACGTGCACTCCACTCTCCACTCAGCGCTGCCCTCTCTCTTTACAAGAGATGTCATGTCCGTTGTGCGAACCACCACCCTCAGTGTGCAGCCCCACCTGGATGATGAGACGGCAGCCATAGTGCACCAGTCTGCCCCCCACACACCAGCTCTCAGTGGGGAGGAAAGCAGAGTGATGAAGCCAGTTCAGAGATGGGGATTATTAAGAGGCCATGATTGGTGAGGGCCAGTGAGAAATTTGTCCAGGACACCAGGGTTACATCCCTACTCTTTTTGAGAAATGCCCCGGGATTTTTAATGACCACAGAGAGTCAGGACCTCGGTTTTACGTCTCATCTGGAGGACGGTGCCTATTTTTACAGTATAGTGTCCCCGTCACTATACTGGGGCATTAGGACCCACACGGACCGCAGGGTGAGCACCCCCTGCTGGCCCCACTGACACCTCTTCCAGCAGCAACCTTTTCCCCAGGAGGTCTGCCATCCAGGTACTGACCAGGCTCACACCTGCAGGGTGATATGGCTGCTGGCTATAATTTGTCACAGACAGCCTTAGGCAGAGTCGTCTCTGGTCTATGAAAGGGTGGGTCCAGGGACACATGCTCTCTGCAGATATTTGTAAATCCTAACCCATATAGAGAAAGGGTTGCATTTTTAGTAGCTGCCTGAGAACGTCAGGGCAATAAAATGCCATGTTTCGGTCCTGGTCGTGAATCCAGCGCAGCACGGTCATCACACACAAGCCGTTACCTCTCCTTCTCCTTCGGACTCGTCGGTCATCTCCTCCTCCTCCTCCTCCTCGCAGTCCTCGTTGTCCAGCTTCTGCAGGGCCGCCCGCCTCTGTCGCTCCTCCAGCCTGCGCTGTGCCATGGCCTGCTGGAGGCGAGACTTCAGCAGCACCAGCTTCTCCCCTGAGGAGGATGGGGAGAGAGGCCGGCTCGTGACGTGGTGCTGAACGCGTGCTGTGAATTTGCAATCCCTGGCTCGAACGTGCGGGCCAGGCAGCGCCTGCGGGACGTTACCTGGCTTGGTGTGCACGACCTCCTCCTCCCCCTCCGTCACGGTGACGGTCAGGGTGTCGGTCACCAGCTCCTCGTGGCCGGAGGGCGCCCTGTCCTTGCGCAGGATGCCGAGCTGCAGTGCATGCTCTCCGCGAGGCCTGGACACGGGCTGAGCATGGCGTAGGAAACGCTCCTTCAGGGCCTCCAGGGCTGACGGGAGGGACAGACAAGCCCGAGACTGACCGGCCAGAGCCAGAAATACAGTTCACGTTCCCGAAGAACACATCACACTCCTGTCTTTTCTCAAGGACAGGTTTCTGAAATTACGAGACAGTTCAGTTCGCCTACTGTATAACGAAATAACTGGTAAGAGTGAAAATTAGTGGGATTTACAGGACTCTCTCCTTTGCCTCCCAGCAGCTGTGGGGTGCCGGGGAGAGGGAGATGGGGGTGTGGACTGTGACAGTGGACAGACACCGAGCGACAGCAGCAGAGCTACTGACAAAGTGAGAGGACGTTCTTACCAGAGTTGACAGCGGGAGGCTCCAGGCAGACGAAGGCCCCCTCGTCGGCGCACAGTCTGGGTTTGGGCGGTGGGTCTAGGCCCAGCTCTCGAAGCCGGGCCAGCTTGTCCTTGCGGAGCCCCCTGCCCTCCTGCTCTCCGACAGGGAGCGGGCTGCTGCTGGGAACGAGGGAGGCTCCTTGCGGCTGCTCCCCGGCCTCTTCCTGCTGTTCCCCTCGCTTGGAGCCGGGCTGTGCAGCTCGGGCTGGTGCATCTGGGTTCTGGTCCTGTTCCAGCACTGCTTGCTTTCCCTGTGCTACTGAGGGCAGGGCTTCACCATGACTGCACTCCATCAGAGTGAGGCCTGGATTGTCAGCAAGCCCATAGTCGGGGGAGTCTTTGTTCTGGTTCAGCGCAGCTGATGGCGGGTCCACACTGGCTTGGCTCTCCTTTGGATCCAGCACCACTTCAGAGTGATGCTCTGCTGCTGCAGCTGGTTCTGACTCGGCTTGTGTTGGGATCACCTGTGAAGAAGTCAGGTCTTGTACAGTCTGGTCTGGTTTCAGCTGGTTCTGGGCTGGCTGAGGTGTAGTAGGACCTTCTGAAATGCGGGGCTGGTAGTTTGCAGACCTGAAAGAAACGGTTTTAACAATAGAGTAGGTCTGGATAAGTCCGAACGTGCACAATATTTGTACAAGAGGGAACTGCAGGGGTCCTTACTTGAGCAGTGCCATGGCGGGGCCCGTGGGCCTGGCTTTCCTCCGAAAGAACTGGTCAATGCTCTTGGGCTCAGGCAGGTGATAGGGAAGCCCCAGGGAAGATTCTGAAACAGCCAGGAGCACAGATATCTCACAGCCGACAGAAAGCTATACACCAGTGTTTCTTAGCCTTTACAGCACTTCTTAACTTCTTAACATTCAGACTGAACCCCTATGGTTCTCAGAATCTGTGCTTGTACCCATTATCCAATTTCGCTGAAGGAAATCAGTTTTTTATCTATAGCATATAATATATATATACGTGAATGAGTCAGAATAATACATTTCTTTTACTTAGAGAAGTAAATAAAGACTACATGAAGAAGTACACACTACGTCAAAGTAGGTCATTGTGTCAGCATGCTTAGGCTGCAAAGTACCAGGTAAAGATTTATTCCAGGCTGAAAGAAAAAGGACAGAGAATGTTTTGGCTGTGGACACTTCTTCAGGTGTCACAGATGTCCACACCTGAAGGCTCCATAGCCAAAACATTGCATCTCTTCTTTTCCTTTCAGCCTGGCATTGACCTTTTCCTGTTTACATTAAAATACCTAGGACTGATTAAACAAAGTTATTATACTTTTGTGTCTGTGCTTAATTTGGTTTCTTGATTTAAAATATCTGGCACATCTCACACCCCCAGGAGGGACGGCTGCACCCCAGGTGAAGAAGCACTGCTAGACAGTCAGCAACAGGGAGAGACAGGCTCTTACCTCGTACGAGTCTCTGGCTTTCGCTGTGCAGCTGTTTCATGGCCTCTTTGCTGGCCCGGGCTGCTTTCCTCTCCTGACAGAGAGGAGAGGACAGAAACGCACAGGAATCAGACACCGAGCAACAGAAGCAGCGTTCTACAACAAGAACGCAAAGTTCAAAGGTCACCTCACCTTCCGCTCTGGTTGACACACCCCCTCAGCCTCCTCCTTTTCCCTCCCGGCTCTCTCCTGGGGACAGGAAAAACACGTCTGTACACAAACCTCAATCTGCCGAGACAAAGTGCTCAAGACCCGCTTGGACAATAAAATGCTGGACCCTGCTTTACAGAAGAGCATTAGACACTTTTGCCAGCACTAAAGGACTCTGTGACTAAAGTCAAACGTGCAGAAGTGAAAAGAGGTTTAACTCCTCATTTCCCCCAACACAGCAGTGCAGACAAGAGTCCTGCAGTCGCCATGTCATGACCTCTGCTCACCTTATGCTTCTTCACCTTGTTTTTCATCGCTGCTCTGATGGCATCCAGGGACTCCTCCTCTTCCTCCCCCACACCTGTGTCAAACAGGTCACTGTCTCTGAGGAGGCAGCCACTGTCATTAAAGGAGGGGGGAGCAGTGGGCTCCTAGATTAGGGAGAGAGTGAAGTGGTTGCTGTCCTAATGTTGGCCTTGTTTAGCGAATCAGCCACACACCCCACCCAAACCTCACTGATGCCCCATCCAGTTAAATCCACATTCAAACTGTGCAGTCACAGAACCGATATAAGCTTACACATCACATGACACTCATTCAGAAGTATTTTAAAATAAGCACAAAAAGTTAACATAAAAACCTGTCCAACAATCAGTGACTAGACAATTTAAGAACATGCAGTGTATTTAAAATGTTTCTGTGGACCAGGATAAATACAGCCAAAGACATTCAATATTTTTGTTAACTATGAAGTCTGCTGAGCAGCTCTCCCCTGACACAGCACTGACAGCCAACCGGGCAAGCAGGACAAAGCTGGCTGGAGCACTACCTGTCTGACGCAGGCACACCTGTGCTCGCCGCCCTTCCAGGCCCAGGGCTGCATCTTCCCAGCTGCGCCCTGTACGTACCTCTTTCCTCCTGTTCCTCTTCGCTCTCTGCGCAGCCTCTGCCCTCCTCTTGTCCTTCTCCCGGCAATGCTCGGACCTCTCCTCCCGCTTCACCGTCTCCCCAGCAGGGGACTCTCCCTGTGCCTTGCCGGCCTGCCTGTCCGTCTCCGCCTCGCTGTCCTCACTGTCCCAGGCGGCCTGCGCCACCCTCCTCGCCCGCTGTCCTGTCCTCCCGCCTCCTCCCTCCTGCCTCTCCTCCTCGCTGGACTCCGACAGGGCAAGAGCCTCGGCCGGCCCCCCTCCCTCCTCGGCCTCGCTGTCGCTGTCGCTCAGGGCCGTCCTGCCGCGCGGCTTCCTCTTCACAGCCACCTCGCCGTCCGAGTCTGGAACACAAGACGTCTTTGACACGGACCTTCCGAGGCGACGCACACGAGACACTCGCTTCCGAACGGTCAGGACCATCGTCAAACTGCTCAGTTATGAGACACAGGGTAACTGTACAAATCCCCCCTGCGGAGCAGGCAGAGCCTCAGGAGGTTCAGAGTGACCCCACTGCAGAGCCCTCAGAGCTCTGTGGCGTTATACCCCCCGGCCCCGCTGACCTTGGTCCTCGCTGCTCTCAGCCATCGCTGGGGCGCCCCCCGTGGGCACAGGGGGGCTCAGGTCGCAGCTGCCCTTTCCGCTGTCGGAGTCGCTCTCCTCCACGGGAAGCACGTCCGGCGCCTGGAGAGAAAACGGGTGGCCGTTACCTACGGGCACGACGGCACAGCGCAGCGTCACCACAGACGGGTCCCGAGGACGTGGGGTAGCATCTGTATCGAGCATCGCTATAGTTAGACATGATTTACTGCAGATTGACTTCACTGCAATACATCAACAGGATGGCTTACAGTTACAACACCGCACAGCTGGAGAAACCTGAACACTGACCGGCTGGCGGTGACACAGCCGAGTTCGGCTACACAAGAAAGGTTATAATCGAGCACAGCCATTCCTCCCTTCTGGCCGATGGGCTTACTGCCCCTGTGATCCCATGGAAACCGCCCTGGGGGTCTGCTCTGAGCTCTGCGAGTGGAGGACAGTGCCTCCAGCCGGCAGTGCGACACTCCAGAGAAGGAGCAGCTCATATCTGCAGCAACAGCTCGGTGGGCTAACAACACCCAGCGACTGGGCCCATGATCAGACCCGAGGTCCCGACTGCTCGGAAGAAACTCGCGTCGGGCCCTGTACAGTCTGACCGCCCTGGCAGACCCCGGACTGAAACGGCAGCGCACCAGCCGAGACACAGGCCGAGTGGCGAAGCAGGAGCCCCCGCTATGAACCCCGCTTGCACGTTGAACCACCGGACCGCGAGAGCGGAGCAGCGCGCCCCCCAGCGGCCGGGCCGGGAGCCAGCCGAGGCGGCAGAGAGTCGCTGCCACGAAAAGCTCAGCAACCAAAACAAACCGCAGACTTTCCTCCCGAGGCCCGGAGAACACACCCCGGGTCAGACGGCTCGGTTCCGCTGGCGGTGCTGCTGCGGCCCGTCCAGCCCGCCCGGACCCAGCCCTCTCGGAGGCCGGACAGCCGCACAGCAGCACACAGCCCCCCCAGAGCACGAACCGCGGGTCTTTACGAACACTTCGCCACCGTGACTAAAACAGCACAAACCTGCTGGGACACGGCCGCACTCATGGCGACGGGCTCTTTTCCGCTTACACTCGACAACACAGACTCATGAAAACGCACGCAAGGCCACGTCCACTTTCTCGCCCTCCTTGACAAACTATTTAAACAGTTAAAATAAACCAGATAAACAGATGAGATCTAATCTGCAACAGTAACAACTCGTAGCTGCCCGCCTGCTTCTCCCTCCCGCGCGCTCTCTCAGAAAGGACTTTCAACCGCTCGCGCGCCCAGGGCGCCATCCCGCCCCTCGCCCCCTCCTCTCCCTCCTGACTGGGCTGTCGGCCGTCAATCCCGCCTCGCACCCGCCCACCTCGGCAGACTTATTCCACCTCGGGGGCTGCCGACGCTCCCAGCCACGCCTCACGCAAGTGACGGACAGCAGCAGGGACCAATAGCGAGCGGAGTCGCAGTGCACTCGGGGGTCTGATTGGAAAGCTTGGTTTTGTGTAGTTTTTCTTGGAATCACAAATACAGTAATGCTAAAGAACTGTGAATGAAATAAAAATATTCTCTTTCTAAAATAAAGCAAAAATAAGCAATCACCTTATTTTAAATAAAAATATAGATGTGAATTTTATCCCCCCCCCTCACTTTGTATTGTGTAAGCTTATCGGTAGCTCACAATATTTATTGCAGTTTTGTTAAAACAATACTCAGCCCCTTTGATTCCGGATACTCTGAGACAAAACAGGATTTCAACGTTGCCCTGAAACTGAACCTCATTAAAATGTAAACAGCGCTGAAACTTTTAACTTTTTGTACTAAATGACCACCGACTGCGTGACAATACGGTGGTTTTAAAGTAATTTATAAGAATAAAAAGCATGTCATATTTTTTCAATTTAATTTAAAAATCTTTTCTGGCAGACGCCCTTAATTTGTACATTACAATGAGGATTAAATAAATAAGAAGTGCAAATTATACTTTATAAACCTGCTGGTTTTACCTGAGCTGCTGTGGGACAGGGCTGCAGCTACAGGACGGCTGTTGCAGAGCAGAGCAAACAGCCACGTTAACAGGAGTAAAACAATACAGATCACTGACGAATGTGACGATTTCACAGACACCCACACATTTTGGAACCTGAATGAAAAGTATAAGCTGTAGCATGATACACTCCGTTTTCTCCCTGTGCTCCCCAGATGCATGTCGATATAAACGCGTTTTCTCCTCTGTGACTCCCCGGACCCCAGCACGCTGAGCAGCCCAGGCTCTGACAGAGCTCCGCACAAGAGATACTGTGAGCGCGGGACAAGGCTTTTCAACGGCGTTGGTAAAAACGGAGCTGAAATGCTGCCAGTTTACGGAGATGTCAGACCTTTCAATTAACTGCGCTGCCCCCTCTAGCGGCCGGTATGATAACTTCCTGCTTCCTCCCTGGTAGAATTATTTATAAAAACCGCGGGTAAACCGCTGACAGGCTAACCAAAGCCTCATCCAACGGGAGACGAATTCTCCATGTACTATGCTGCCCAAATAGATGTCGATAACCAAACCCCCGGGAGTCCACAGCCGCCTGTGCTGCCCGTCTCCGTGCGCTCAGTTTAAATCCCCGGACGGCGCAGGCGCACAGCAGGGGCAGCGCTCGGCGCGCAGGCGCACTGCCGCACTCCCCGGATCCGCTTTAAACCGAGCGGCGACAGCGGACCTCAGTTTCTCAGAGTGGACCCTCTCAGCTTCGCGATACCGCCCCCAATCTCAGTGTCGGTACGGAGCCGCCAGGCCGGGACAGAGACGGAGAGAGAGCCCTCGGCCATGGAAGCGCTCGGACCCGGTGAGAAGAGGCGCTGGCAGGCCCGGCAGGGCAGGAGCGGGGGGCCCGGGTCGCTCGCTCACTGGGGGCCGGGGATTGCGAGGCCTCCGCGGGCGATCGGGAAGACGGAAGGAAGAGCGAGGTCGGGAGGTTAACCACACGGCACGGGGTGTTGCCTGCAGGGCTCTGTCCCTCACGGAGGGCTGGTGTCCGGTGTGGCTGTGTGCCGCAGCCCCGGGTCGCGCTTGGAGCGAAACGTCAGGAGCGCCTTTCCGCGTCTTCCGCGTCTGTTGTTGTTGTCGTGCTCAGCCTGCGGGCTGCGGCGGGTCCGAGAGCGAAGGCGGCGGAGCTTCGTGTCGGTTTGCGAGAGCGGATTTCAGCTTCTCTGTCCGTCTGGTTTCGTCCACCACGGTGGAGCCCGGAGCCTCGGTCCCTGTGCTTGCAGCTGTCCCGGAGCTCTGCGTGATCCAGCTGTCGGGTGTCTGTCGCTCGCTGCCGGCCGGAGCGGTGGCACAGTCCGGTCTCTCTGCTCGCTGACCAGCACGTTTACGGCGTCTTTGCGGTGTCTGTATCGGGATGTGCAGCCTCACCGAAGCCCGAGTGGGGTTTAAACTACGGGAAAGTGCGGTTTATGTGCCTCTGCGTGGAATAATCCTCTTATTGATGTATGTAGAAATCCCCGATAATGTTAGGAAGAATTTTAAAAGTAGTTTACCTAATATATGTATCAATAAGTACGAAAGTGATTTAATAGCTTAAGTGTTTTAAATTGTTGTTTAACTCAAAGCTATTGTACCTTTTAAAATAAGTTATCCGGGGTAAAAAATGCTTCCCACATGGGAATTGTGGTACATAAAAGGGCAGTGGCTGGGATTCTGGTGTCCTGCAAATGTGTACAGTCGGTGTTTTTTCAGGATTTGCTTGTAATTCATAAGAAGGGCACTATCTGTGGACTAGTAACCCCTTGTCTTCTGGAGTAAAGATTCTTTCCTGGGCCAGGCAATGGAAGTATTATTATTATTCCTGTATATAGCAGACCCCTTCATTCAGTGTGAATGGCAAACTGGAAAGTTTACTTGTTAATACGAGGAACAGTCGTGCAGCTGCGTGTCCAGTCTGCTCCTCTCCTGACGGGCGAAGGCAGCCGTAGGGGTGAAACTGCACAGGCTCTGGGGATGCAGGGTGGTAACTTATGCACCTACTGGGTGCTTACAGCTTGTCTGCAGTGATTAAATGCAGTTGGTACGTTGCATTACTATTTTGAGAATTAAGCCCTTGTAGTTCAGTCCCCATGTCTGTATAGCATGCATCATCACAATGGGTCTTGGAGAGCTGGGGTGCTGCATCGCCCTGTAGACACAGAACAGCAGCAGCCCCCTTACGCAGCAGAGCAGGGGCAGAGAGAAACTGGGAACCAGTGGGGAGGTTAGGTTGTCTGAGCCCAGTTTGGGATTAACACCCTTACAGACAGCCTCGGGACCCATGTAGATTTTGGCTTAACTCTTGCTGAAGGGAGGGCACCTCATGCAAAGGTGATGAGGGGCTGAGGGGAAAGGGAGGCTGGCGCCTGGGATCTGGTAGAGAAGAGATGCATGGGGTCTGCTGGAAGAAGAGCATCGAGTCCAGGAGGAGGTGAAAGGCATATAAATAGTGAACATGAGAAACTCTGCGTCCTTCGCGTTGAGTGTGAAAGACCATGACAGGAGGTGAGGACCTGGGGAATGAGTGTAGAGAGGAGAGCGGAGACCCAGGACAGAATCCCGGGATCCACAGGGAGCGCACCGGTGGACAGAGCGAGTCCAGCCAGGGCTGTAGATCCCCACGGATCCGCAGGGAGCTCTCTGACCCGCCTGGACATGCCTTGATTTACAGGTTCATAGGACAGGGCTAGGCTGCTCTGTGTAGCCTTATTCTATGACCTGTGCGGTGTTGCTGCTGAGCTCTTGATATCCTCAGACGTCCTGCAGCTCTTTCACTCTCGGTGTTGTCTTTTCCTTGTGGCAGGCAGGGCCTCTGTCCTGTCGCAAATTCGTCATTAATCCCATCTGCCTTGCAGGTGTTCTTAAACCCCTCTTTCCAGTCTGATTATTGACTGATCACTGCCAAGACATTGACTCCTCAGTGCAAAACACCTGTTCCCACCAGTACCTTCACACAGGTACATTCACGTGCTTTGATGGATATGTTGTTAAAAATCCATAAATGATGTTTTTCACTCATGAGCTGTGATAACATTAGGTTGGTGCTGTATTTATGAATAGAATGCTTTTGAAAGTTAAGGATGAAGTGTTCTAACCCTTCATGAACACAGTCTGAAGTGTCTTGCTTCTGTGCTGCTTTGCTGGCTGTTCTGTTCTTGATTGATTCTTCCACCTCTTGATTTGCACATCAAACTGGCCAAGTATTGAGTTGGATAATAGGGGATGGGAATACGTTTGGCCCAGTTTGAGTCCTGCTTCCACAGAATTATCATTTGAATGTTATCACGTCTAGAGTTTTCTGTACTGTAACCTTCTGTAGATTATACACCAGCATTGTAAATGACAAAGCGCTGCTCAACTACCACCCGAGAGCAGGGAGATGCTGCTGTAAGAGAGGTGAAAGTGTGGAAGAGCCAGGAGGCAGAGGAGCTGCCTCTCTGCCCGTCCGTTCAGGGAAACCAGACCCTGGATCATTCAGGGCAGCTGGGGCCCAGAGTATCAGGCCAGGTGGCCTTTGACCTGTAGATTGTTACAGTAAGACCAGGACCGCAGGTTAGCAATGTGGCTTCTTCCGGTGTTCGTCTGCCTTAGTTAAGGGTAAAGAACCGATTTTTTTCTACTTTGGGCAAACTGCCCATTGGACCCCTTTTCGAACGAAGACGCTGACCTGTTTCCTCTCTTCTAGATGGGTGGAATGGCCTCCTCTTGTTTGTAACGTTTCAAGTGATCTTAGTCTGGAGTCTTTGTGCAAACAGTCAGTCGGTGCTGCATCTCCTCTTGGGCCGGGTCTCCCTCCCTGTGTAATCCAGAGTGTGAGTCCAGGCCCATCTGCTCGGGCTGTTCCTCTCCCCACAGATGCGCCAGGCCCTTTGTCTGGGTTGTCTTGCAGGGGGTGGGCTAGTGGTGTGTGCTGTGGGAATTATTATTCAGTAATTGGGCGCTATTGTTCAGTAATTAGGCCAGTCCTTTGCGTGGTCTGGAGAGCAGTCTCTCTCTTTGTTTTCAATACTGGGGGACCCCCTTCCTGTTATACAGATGGAGTCTCTGTGTTTAGCACCCTTAGCTTCTGAACATTATGGAGAACACTAGTGTGGTTCACTCACTCTTCGGGTCTGCTGTCTTACTGCTTGTTCCAGAATTGACTTTCTGATGCAGGTGGAGTTAGTACAGTGTGGCTTTAGCGTGCCAGTTTATTTGTGTTTATGTTATGCCTTTCTTTCCAGTGGCTCTCAAAGCGCCTGATATATAGAAGGGGTTCCACTTCATCCATCAGTGAAGTGCAGCCCCACCTGGGTGACAGCAGACAGGGGAACTTCAGTGAGGCCAGCTGTAAATCTCAGATTGGAATTTAGTTAGGGTAAGGGGTTAACTCCCCCGCTCTTATCAACAGTACTACTATAGGATCTTTAATGATAGTCAAGATTGATCAAAGCATCTGAAGGGAATTAAACGGAGGTTTTGGTTCTAGAGGGAAGGGTGCCACCTACTTGTCCCTATTGGTGCAGCTAATTAGCAGGTGTGACCAGGCCCGGCTTTGCTTGGCTTTTGAGGTCTGGCTATGAGGTGGCAGCAGTGCTGAACTGCAGGCCCATGTTTCAGAGTGTCGGGCTCTCATTGTATGATGGTTTGAGTCCTATGAAGTTTTGTGTACTCCTGGATCTCGCATATAGATGCATTTTAAAGGCTGGATGTCCTCTGCTTGTTTCTTTCAAGAACGTTTGCAAAGAAAGATGTTCAGTTTTAATACCAGAATGTTTGAATTTTTTCAGGCCCACCTCCAACCTCCCTGTTCCAGCCTCCTCGGCGGCCCGGCCTGGGCACGGTGGGGAAGCCCATCCGCCTGCTGGCCAACCACTTCCAGGTGCAGATCCCCAAAATCGATGTCTACCACTATGAGGTGGAGATCAAGCCAGAGAAACGACCTCGCCGTGTCAACAGGTATGGAGAGATCTGCACGTGCAGCTGCCCATTTCTGTATCGGACACCTTTGCAGGGCAAATTTGTTTTAGCAGTAGAAAGAAATGATCTGACTGTTCGTGTGGAAGTTTGTGAGGCCCGTCTGTCTCTCGGTGGTGTTCTGTCTTGCTCTGGTCACTGTTCCTCACCTCTCCTGGCTGTGTGTGCGCAGGGAGGTGGTGGACACCATGGTGCGGCACTTCAAGATGCAGATTTTTGGGGACCGCCAGCCTGGCTACGATGGCAAGAGGAACATGTACACGGCCCACCCCCTGCCCATTGGCAGAGACCGGGTGAGTCTGTGCTCCTGAACTTTGCCGGCTTCAGCCTCCGTGTCCTGCAGCACTGCGGGGGCTGGCTCTTACCCTGGCATCTGCCCGTCTCTCCGCCTGCAGGTGGACCTGGAGGTGACACTGCCCGGCGAGGGGAAGGACCAGACCTTCAAGGTGTCCCTGCAGTGGGTGTCGGTGGTCAGCCTGCAGATGCTGCTGGAGGCGCTGTCGGGCCACCTCAACGAGGTGCCTGAGGACTCTGTCCAGGCGCTTGACGTCATCACCCGGCACCTGCCCTCCATGAGGTAAAGCCCTCCCCAAGTCCTCCATTTGCACCCCGCAGTCCTGCACCTTGCCGGGCTGTTTCTGATCCTGCAACAGTGCGGTTTACAACACTTGATACCTTCCCCTCCTCTCCCCTGCGCAGGTACACCCCGGTGGGGCGCTCTTTCTTCTCTCCCCCCGAGGGGTACTACCACCCCCTGGGCGGGGGGCGCGAGGTGTGGTTCGGGTTCCACCAGTCTGTGAGGCCGGCCATGTGGAATATGATGCTCAACATTGACGGTGAGGGGCTGATATGCGTGGCAGCACTTCTGCTCATGTCCACCTGTCCTCTGTTGCCCTTGTGCTTCTGAGTCTCTCTGGTAAAGCAGTGCAGTACATTCTGTCAGTACTTGTAGTTCCACCGCTAGAAGGTTGTAGAAACTCTCCTAACTGAAGTAGCTTCAGATTCTGAAGGTATTTAATTACAAGAATGGTTTTATCGTGGCCCTGTGTGAGCCTGTGGGATGGGTCTGTTACTCTCAGGCCAGATCGCAAGCAGGCGAAGCAGGGGGCTGGTGACGCTGTCAGGCTGAGTGCTGCAAGCACCTTACCTGACCACTTGAGCTCACGTGAGGCGGCATTATCTCTAAGACTGGAATTAGCCACGTTTAATACAGCTTGTTTGGTTCTCTAGTTATTTTCAGTTAGTGACAGAAGACGATTGTAAGCGTAGTTGATGAAAGTGAGATGCCTCTGGACAGCCAGGTGTAATGTCGCTCACGGGACGGCTGCAGGCAGATTGATGGGATGAACTGGTCTGTCCAAATGTCGGTCTTTCCACACATTTGCCTTCGACAATTCCAAGACTGGTTTGAAGAGGCTAAAGCCGTCTTCTCTCTTGTCTTCTAGTGTCTGCGACGGCATTCTATCGCGCTCAGCCAGTCATCGAATTCATGTGTGAAGTGCTGGACATCCAGAACATCAACGAGCAGACCAAGCCGCTGACCGACTCTCAGCGTGTCAAGTTCACCAAGGAGATCCGCGGTGAGCTGGGGGGGAGGCCAGCCTCTTCGGTCACACAGCCCCTCTCTCTCCCTGTGTACACTGCCACGACCAGCAGCATCGAAAACCTTTTCTGATTCCCAATAGCAGTGAAGTCTGCACAGTAGATTTACCGTTTCATGGGGTGTCACTATGGTAATCATTGTAGTGTCAAAAACAGTTGCACTGAAACAATTTGAGTCCCTAGATTTTTTTTAATATGTGTTTTGCAATATATGTCAAAATATGTTTTGGCTGGGTTCTAAACAGTTTTACAAACGGTAAATATTAAGCAGTATTAATTTAGTAGTAGAAATAGACATGTTTTACACTTGATATCAACGTCTGCTTGTGGATGACAATCCACTGAATCAAGCACCTTGACATCGTGCCTCAGGTACACAATGCTGGGTTGTGTTCTGTGTCCCTGTCAGATTTGAGAGTTAATAGAGATTGTAGGTGAGAATCTGTGTATTGGATATCGAGAAGTGATCTAAAGAAAGAAGAAATCTGTTCACCCTAAAGCAAAAATAGATCTTCATTGCAGAATTTAATCTGTTTACAAAACATCACATTCTAGAAACAATTTCCACTGAATGTGATAGTTAGTAAGCTGAACTTTGAACTCTTCAAATCGGGAAACGCCGTCCCTTGAACCTGCTTCAGAATTGGCTGGACGACTCCAAAATGTGAATACAGTAGACTTGCGCTATATGAAGAATATTTTTATTTGTGTATTTAATTTGTGTATATGTGGTTGGCGACGAAAAAATAAAATGATGCATCAAGAATCAAACAATGCAGGAGATTTTTCACATTCAGGCCGGGTGTGGCACACATCTGAGCTCCGCCCTGGGGACCAGTTACAGAGCCCACGCCTCTTTACTGCGAAGCATCTCCCTCAACATGGCCCGTAGACTGCAAACCAGTACGAAGGGGAAAGGCACTTTTCTTGACTTGCCTGATTGGGAGTTAAAAATGGGGATTTTGAACAAGTGAAGGGGTGGGGAGACGGAGATGAGATCACTTTATTTGCCACATACAATTTCTTGTATTAAGAATTTCTTTTTTCGCATACCCCAACTTGCTCTTCGTGAGACAGTCAGGGAGAGAAGCTGGGGGTCGGAGCGCAGGGTCAGGCATTTATACTGCGCCCCTGGAGCAGCTGGGGTGAAGGGCCTTGCTCAGGGGCCCAACGGAGTAGGATTACTCTGCCGGCTGTGGGATACAAATCGGTAACCTTCCAGCCACAGGCGCAGATCCTGAGCCACAGAGCCTCCGCTCTGCCCCTGGTTGGCAAGAGCGAATCTTTGATTCGTGCAATCGGAGACGGAGAGAAGGCTGTTCATGAGAGCTTTGCGTCTGCTTTGTTCCCTGCATTTTATTACGTTTTATTAAATCTGTTTTGTAGAATGTACAGCTGTTACTGCTTTCATAATACTTTAAGCTACATGCACATACTAATACACTTACAACTGATGTTTTGATTATACATGATTTTGGGTATACCCGCTATGCCAGTGTAAAATGTGAGTCTACTGTAGTTCTCGATTGTCGGCTGTAATTTAGATCTTGATGGGTCCTCTGTCTGTGTGCAGGGCTGAAGGTGGAGGTGACGCACTGCGGTCAGATGAAGAGGAAATATCGTGTCTGCAATGTCACACGCCGCCCTGCCAGCCACCAAACGTAAGAGCATGTTTTTCTGGGTGTTGGTGGTATCTCTGTGCCCTAGTCTTCAGGGTTTAATACTCCAGGGAGATAGTGAACAAGACAAGTCAGCACAGTACTAGTACTGGAGGATGTATTTGTGCTCTTGACTTGTAGGGGGCAGGAGATGGTTGATCTCATTTTTTTTTAGAGCAACTCCTAAAATGATAAAGTAGCACTGAGCTGCATCCAGCTCCAGATGTTCAGCTAGTCCAGACCTCCCAGGCTGTCGGACCACTGGCTTGCTGTGGTGGGGTTTGGATTGTGAAATTCATTCGTTCATATGCAATTTCCAACCTTGGGGTTGTGTCTTAATTTGAGTTTGTGAAAAAAAAAGTCATGTTTCTGGGCACGCAGCACTTGAATAGTAAATTATGCAATTTATTTAAAGTTAATAATCTTGCAGTTCAGCTTTTATTGCCACTGACCCAGAGTTTCTGCCCTTTTTTGTATACCATTAAAAAAAAAAAAAAACTTGGGGTGGAGTAAAGGTGATTGGTACTCCTTGGATGAAGGATGTTTTGAGTTGGAAGTAGTGTTTAAACATGATTTTGTTTAAAAGTTTTGCCTTTACCATCCAAAATTCAAAAGGTCAGTAACAGTAAACGTGTCTCTAATTGATCAAATAAGTCATGCACAATGTGCTTTGAAACCTGGGAACTTGTAGCTTTCGTTTTCACAGATGCCTAAGAGGCCAAGATATAGCCCGAGCACAATCAGTGTGTTGATTTTTTCCATTGTTGTGGAGAGTGATGTGGAGAGTGATGTGCAGATGCTATTATACTTTGAGAAGGTGTTTCTGGTTCCTCGGTAGGTACTGGGAGCTCGTACACGCCGTGCACATGACTTGCTAGTGGCGCCTCTTGGACTGGTGCAATTTCAGGTTCTCGGTACATTTCATTCATGGCACTGTGTCCTCTCCAGGTTCCCCCTGCAGCTGGAGAATGGCCAGGCCATGGAGTGCACTGTGGCCCAGTACTTCAAGCAGAAGTACAGCCTGCAGCTAAAGTACCCTCACCTGCCCTGCCTGCAGGTGGGGCAGGAGCAGAAACACACCTATCTGCCCCTGGAGGTAAGACTTGGCTGGAGTCCCACATTCCACTTTTTTTTTTCCCCACAAGCCATGGCTTCAGGGCTTCCATGCTGATGCACATTGTGACTACTGCCTCCTCCAATCAGGAGATATGATCTGACTTGATAGTGTACAGTCGTGATGTTCATGTGATGAACCCAGTTTAGGGAAGGAGGTTATTCCAGGTGTACTCACTGTACTGGACTAGAAAATGTGAATTTATCCTGGAACTATCAACAGAGTCTTGCTCTGAGTGCTGCACCCTCTGGGGACAGGCAGTGACCCTCTTGTGCCCCACAGGTGTGTAACATTGTGGCGGGGCAGCGCTGCATCAAGAAACTGACGGATAACCAGACCTCCACCATGATCAAAGCCACAGCGCGCTCTGCGCCTGACAGGCAGGAGGAGATCAGCCGGCTGGTGAGTGGCTCTCTGTAGCAGGAGATGGGCGCTCATGGAGCAACTCGGAACATCTCATGGACGTGACTCCTCGCTGTTCTTGAAGAGCACTGCCCTTTATAATGTGACTAGTGGAAAAGATCTAAATTTCTGTCATTTCTTAGTACGTTTAGTGTTCTTTGCGAGGCTTCAGTTGCCTCAGATGAGCATGGAGGTGAGTGGCGAGAGAGACGACCCTGGACTGTCAGGGACACGTGTGTCTCTCTCCTAGTGTGGCCTTTTCCCTTTCGCAGGTCAAAAGCAACAGCATGGTGGGTGGTCCTGACCCCTACCTGAAGGAGTTTGGCATCGTGGTCCACAACGACATGACGGAGGTGACTGGGCGGGTCCTCCCAGCGCCCATGCTGCAGTATGGGGGCCGGGTGAGTACAGACACTGGGAGGGACTGTGGCAGGGTGAGTACTGGGGCACAGGGCAGGGTGAGTACGGGCCGGGCGGCCGCGGGGGGAGTGATTGCCTCATACAGAGATGGAAGTTGGACCCAGAGCGTTTCAGGTGTTACAAGCTGCGGGATGTCAGGAACAGTGTTGACTTTAAGCAAGCAAACTATTCGCTATATAACTCCATATATAGAGGTCAGATAATGTGTAATGAGGCAGCAAGCATTTCCAGGCACGAAACAGGTGTTGACCCGTGTACAGGAGGCAGCAGCTAGTCAGACCTGAATTGCACGGCTCCGACTGCTGTTTGCTGGAGTCTGACTCCCTTCGCTGGAGAGGCTGAGTGAGTGGGACATGGCGCCGGGACCCTGAGACTCTGCTGTTGGCTCCACAGCTGAAATGTGTGTGAAGGCTGGTTTTGGAGTGGGAGCTGGGGGCCTCCCCGCTCCTCGTACAGCTGGAGTTGAGGGGACTGTGCTTGGAGTCCTGCTGCGCTTGTGAGACTGTGTGCTGCTGGTGGGGGGTGGGGGGTGGGGTTGTTTCTCCAGGGGATGGGGAGGGGGGGGGCATGCAAGTGCAGATGTGAAATGTGCATGGGGTCTTGTCTTGTTGGGGTGTCCATTCATGAAGTGAGCGACTGGGGCTCTTGTTCAGTTGCAGCCTGAGCTAGAGGTCAGGCCTGTCTAGTCCGGGCTGTCCCAGCACCACAGCAATTCAGAAAGGAAACCCAGACTTGCAAACATCCGGTACATTTCAGGTTTTTACAGAAATTGCAGGCTGCGGTTAAGCAAGGTGTTTAAAAGCACAATAGAACTCTACACTCCATTATTGTTCATTATGAAGAATAAGAAGCATTTAATAACCAGAAACTTGAGCTGGTTTATAAGCGAGAAGCCTGCAGCTGACAGACCTGGAGTGGCTCACAGTGCTGTGTGCTGGGAACTGTGATGCTGCCCTTGAAGCGGAACACGAGGTGCTGTCGGGTTGCAGTGCAACAGAGGACAGTCTCTTTCCCTACTTTGCCCTAAAAAGGGCCACTAAAAGAGGAGTGACTTTTTCCTCAGAATAAAACCGTGGCCACGCCGAACCAGGGCGTGTGGGACATGAGGGGGAAGCAGTTCTATGCCGGGATCGAGATCAAGGTGTGGGCTGTCGCCTGCTTCGCGCCCCAGAAACAGTGTCGGGAGGACCTGCTGAAGTGAGTGCCTGCGGACCGACCGGCACCCCTCCCCTCGTCGCTGACTCCGCGGCCTCGTTTCCGCAGACTGCTTTCACAGCAAGCGGGTTTTCGGGGTGCAGGCAAACTTGCAGAACCATATTTACCCGTTTGAATGTTCCTGAGCACTTAAATGGATCTCAGGTCTTGACCTCTCATGATTGTTTTTTCTGATCGGGGAGTAGCAAGGGAGGCTGACCACGTTTTATTAAAATGGGAGTATGCAAACCACTTTATGACTCAGCCAAGCTATAGATTACAGTTACAATGTTGCATAGAGCAAGCAGAGGTCTAGTATTGTGAAGATGCCTGTTCCACGTTTTGTCAAAGCTAAAACATTCCTTCATGCCGGTTAGGAGTTTCACAGACCAGCTGCGCAAGATCTCGAAGGACGCGGGGATGCCCATCCAGGGCCAGCCGTGCTTCTGTAAATACGCGCAGGGCGCAGACAGCGTGGAGCCCATGTTTAAGCACTTGAAGATGTCCTATGTGGGGCTGCAGCTTATTGTTGTCATCCTGCCAGGAAAGACGCCAGTCTACGGTGAGCAAGAAGGCAGTCTGTTTCGCAGTCCCTCTCTCGCTCAAGTGGTAACAAATTCTAAAGTTATTACAGACCAGTAAATTAGTTATTTAACATGCAAGGAAACAATTGGAACTAGACATAACCTACATGGTGATAGGAATCCAGGGCATAGTCAGTATGGCTTTACAAGTGGTTGGTCCTGAGCCTGGACTGTGCCAATCCATTACAATTTGTAGGTTGTTCTAAATTACACTTAATTTAACACTTAAAATTGTTGTTAAACAACTATTTCAGGCCTTTAAAATTTGAAGGATTAGCAGGTAGGAGATGCTTGGTAAACGGTAATCCATCGCATATCCTCCCTGAGCATTTATCCACATGGCACTACTTGACCTCCATACCCAATTTTATGTGCAAAAGGAAGGCAGTTTGGCTGTCGGAAAGTAAAGGAAGTGTGATTATGATTGTGGAGGAAAGAAAGCTGGAGATGCAGAGGAAAACGGGGCTGAAAGCAACTTTGAAATTGGAAAGAATACCAAGCCTGCTTCACAGAGGCTACTTCAAGGTGTATGTGTCTGGTGCAGTGTTCGTGACTATTCGCTGCCTCTGTCTTCAGCGGAGGTGAAGCGGGTGGGAGACACTCTGCTGGGAATGGCCACCCAGTGTGTCCAGGTGAAGAACGTGGTGAAGACCTCCCCTCAGACCCTCTCCAACCTCTGCCTCAAAATCAACGCCAAGCTGGGCGGCATCAACAACGTGCTGGTGCCCCATCAGCGGTGAGTGGTTGGGGTTCATGGTTCAAGGGGAGGGAGAGGGAGAGGTGTTTTCTGTAGAGCCCTGCAGTTCTTGGCAGACTTTGTGAGGATGCTCAACATACAAACTCTGCTCTACAGACTACAGATCAGTCTAGACTCTCCCAGCTGCCAGGCTACAGCTCTGCAGCAAATCAACTGTGTAAACACTTTGCTCACTTCAGAATGTGGGTGCTTTGAGCGTTGATAAACTGAACCCGGCCTGTCCTCACCTCTTAGCAGTCAGTAAGTCTGTACTGACCTGGGCTTTTTCCTCCTCTTCCTCAGCCCCTCCGTGTTCCAGCAGCCGGTGATCTTCCTCGGGGCGGACGTGACGCACCCCCCTGCGGGAGACGGGAAGAAGCCCTCCATCGCGGCGGTGGTGGGCAGCATGGACGGGCACCCCAGCCGCTACTGCGCCACAGTGCGTGTGCAGACCTCGCGGCAGGACCTGGCGCAGGAGCAGCTCTTCAGCCAGGAGGTCATCCAGGATCTCACCAACATGGTGCGCGAGCTGCTCATCCAGTTCTACAAGTCCACGCGCTTCAAGCCCACCCGGATCATCTACTACCGCGGCGGCGTTTCCGAGGGGCAGATGAAGCAGGTGGGTGGAGTGTGCTTGCCCCTGCTCATAAACAAACACACTCTTCCCCCTGAACTCGGGATCGGTACATCCTGGATTCATCTGTGTAGAAACAAATTCAGACTCCCCACTGTCTTCTGATTCTCTTTGTGACGGGGATAACGATTGCTTACTGGAAAGAGTCGTTTTCTTAATTAGTCCTGAATTATTCCTGTCTCTTATGCAACAGTGCAGTTGGATTTGGCCATGAAAACCGAGCAACAGTAAGAAAAATTAGAAAGGCGAATGTCTGTATTAACGGAGTTTCAATGATCTGGCAGGTTCCTGCTGGGGGAGGTGCTTCTTCTTGAAAGTGGCGAACACTTGGGGGACTCTGGTTCTGGAGCGCCACAGTCCGGAAGGATCTCCCAGCCGTTTCTGAAAACTTGAAACAATGTAGCTTTGGCCACTTAAGCAGAGGATTCAAATTTGAAAAATGTCAAAGTTTGGAAATTATTTTAATGCAAAACACCAATATGTGTGGCTCTTAAGGACAATGGCCAACTTCCCTATTTAATTGACGTAATTAACTTACAAAATTCATCAAGTTACAGGTTCAGACTATTTACAGATTGATTTAGGGTGACCTGTAAAATCTTCTGGACTGCAGCTCTTCAAAAGCTGAGCGCTGCCAGGCTAATATCGGCTTCTGCTCTGTGGACAGGTGGCGTGGCCAGAGCTCATCGCCATTCGAAAAGCCTGCATCAGCCTGGAGGAGGACTACCGGCCTGGCATCACCTACATCGTGGTGCAGAAACGCCACCATACCAGACTCTTCTGTGCTGACAAGGCAGAGCGCGTGAGTGTCACTTGTCACTCTCTGAGGGCCCCCCCTCAGACTGGTCCTGTCTCTGTATTCTGAGTTTCTTAAACTAATCCAACTGGACTCTAGACCTTTTTCTCCAGGTCCTGTCATTGTTCTGTAAAGACTTCTAATGAAATTGGCAGTATATTTTAAAACGTCAAAGAATAATGAGCAAGTAATTAATTGAGGTCATATCAAGGAATACAAAGTGGGCAATCCTTGAAAGATTTTGGGAGTCTCAGAACCCCAATTTACAACTTGTTGCTTTTATATTCTTAGATAAGAAAAATCTCAGCTCTTGCTTTGTGTTTTCTCTGGCTCTTCTGGTAGGTGGGGAAGAGTGGGAATGTCCCAGCAGGCACCACGGTGGACAGCACGATCACCCATCCATCCGAGTTTGACTTCTACCTGTGCAGCCACGCCGGTATTCAGGTGAGCCACGGATGCCGCACTCTCCGGAGCGGCAGGTGTCCTGCTCTGTTCCAGTGTTGGAATAGCAGTACCTTGGGTTTGGGACTCGCTGTGCTGAGCAGTTTGGGCCCTTCACACGGTTGTACAAACTGTCCTCATGGGGCAAAAAGGCAAGTATGTTAGAATTGGCTGTTTTCAGAACTTGGAAAGACTGGATGGGTTTCGGGCTGGGCGGTTTTCCCTCTCGGTGGCGACTGGTGTGCTAGCCTCTCCTCTCTTTTCCCCGCAGGGCACCAGCCGCCCCTCCCACTACCACGTCCTGTGGGATGACAACTGCTTCACTGCCGACGAGCTCCAGCTGCTCACCTACCAGCTGTGCCACACCTATGTGCGCTGCACGCGCTCCGTCTCCATCCCTGCGCCCGCCTACTACGCGCGGCTGGTGGCGTTCCGCGCCCGCTACCACCTGGTGGACAAGGACCATGACAGGTGAGAGCAGGTGGGGGGTTGGGCTTCTGGAGTGCAGAATAGCCAATGATTGTGGGAATATTTCACCTGATCTCCCTTGGTTTGGCAACATTGCACATTAGACTGTAATGCTCAAGGGTTTGAGTTTGTAGTTGGGAAGTTCAGTATTAAAGGGGGTCTGTAGCACTATTTTTATATTTCAGAGTTAGAAAGAATTGACATTGAGTGTGTTTGAAATCACAATGGAAGAAAAATGAACACAGTAACATGTAAAACCTCCAATTTACATTACAAAATAGACAATTTCCATGTATGTTCAGCACCATGTTCTGCGATTCAGAATGAGGCAACCAAACTCCCTAAGACACTGAGCAAGCAGTCTCGTGAACACATCGCTTTTAATTCAATAGAGACGTTGCTCTTGATTTTGAGATGGTTTGCTGACAAGTACAGCTTATCTCTGCATGCAGATTGCACTGGAACATTTGTGCGGTGAAATGTCTGCTGCACAATCTGTACTTATTCGCTCGTACATCACGTTGAATTAGTCATTACAGTAACTAGTGAGCAGGAAGGGCTGCTTCCATCTTGCGGTTTGTGGGAGCTCTCGCTCCTTATGAGAGCAGCGGTTTGTGACAATATGGCAACTTACAGTACTTGTACAAAGTTCATGATTTTGTTTTTAATTTGGAATTGGGAAAATTTGGCGATACTGTCATTTAATATATTTTGTTACCAAGATTTAATAACCGGTCTGAGAAACTGGGACTGCAGCTCCCCTTTAAATCAGATTAGTCCCTTCTGACACCAGCTTGAGAACAAGGAAATTGTGGATTTTTTAACTTGCAGTAAATAAGTCAGGTAATACTTAGAACTACTTAAAACTGAGCAGTACTGGGAGTTGAGAAATGGGTCAAAGTTTAACAAGTACATATTAAGCTAACACACATGATGATAATACAGATATTTACAGACTATGAGTTGGGATCGACTTCCTGGGCTTGAACCAGTTTTCAACCCTCAAGCTCAGTAACTCAAATTGACAAACGCAGTTACATTCAGAAGAAAGATTGCTTTCATAAAGTAATGCTCTATACTTCGGCCTCCTCATAAACAGTTGCTGCCTTTGAACCCTTTACAAGAATGCATCATGATGCAAAAAGTGACAAGCTGATGAGGGAACGCAAACATGCTGCTCATTTCTGAAAATATAGAGCTGTGTGGCTGCCTCCTTTATAGGAGGATACAGTGTTCTTCACAGAACAGATGAAGAGCTGGAATGTGCTCTCACCAGCGTCCGACCACTCCTATGCCTCTCATTTGTGGTCAGTCATTTTAAGTAGTAGGGTTGGTTGCTGTGATCCATAAAGGGTCCAGTCTTGAAAGTTGGATCTGGTGTCTCCTTTCAATTGGGGTCAATTTATCTGATGGAAAAACCCCTGATCTGTGAAGGTTCCCTGACCATCGTATCCAAACTTCTGTCTGACGTGGGCGTCACGGGGGATAAGTGGAAACCAGGTGCACATCTGCACCCAGCACGTTGTTTTGTTAAATAGTGGTTCATGAGTCAGGAGGTGGGTCTGCTAGCGGTGGTCTGACGAGGGTCCTGGGAGCTGGTGCTGCTAACCGATCTCTCTCCCCCTGCAGTGCGGAGGGCAGCCACGTGTCTGGGCAGAGCAACGGCCGGGACCCCCAGGCCCTGGCCAAGGCCGTGCAGATCCACTATGACACCCAGCACACCATGTACTTCGCCTGAGCCGAGCCCCGCCTGGCGGCACGCGCTCTCTCTCTGTCTCTCTCCTCTTCCTCTTTCTCAGCACCAAAGCGGTTCTGAAGCCAAGAGGCCCGGCTGTCTGTTGAGTCGAAATTGCCGGGCCAATTCGGACCGCTCTCACCAGCAATCCAGGATTCCCAGACGCACTGAGACACCAGGTTCTGATGCACAGAAACACATTGAGCCATTTTTTTCTTAAATATATTTTTTTTATATATATATACTGATCTTGGTCAGGTCAGAAGCACTAGAGAGAACTGATCTTTTACTTCACCGCTAACAAGGAGTTTGTGTATTTTTACCTCAAAGGCGCAGAAGCCACAGTCCCGAGTTTTTAAGCAAGGGTTTTGCATGGGTGGTTTGTGTTAATTGCAGATTTTAAAACGCTGAATTATTTTTATCATGTTTTAGCTCTTTCCTTTTTTTGTCTTGATTTTTAAACGAGGTGACTTTGGTGTCAAAACTCTTTTCCTGTGCTGTGCTGTTCGTCTGAGTGTGTGTCTGCGCGAGTGTCTGTATGTGTGTATTTCAAAATAGACGCATTTGATTAAAATTTCCATGGCAGGCCACAGAATTGTAAAGGGAAATTAAGGAGTTAACTGCTGTAAATGCCTCAGATTTTTTTTATATATACATATATATAAAGAGATATAAATAGACGATTTTACAGGCTTTTTGAAGCCAGTTGTTGTGTGTAGCAGTGTCCGTGTTCTGGCCCGTGTTTAGTGTGGGAGGGTGGAGAGTTTATTCGGGGTTGGGTTGGGGGAGGGGGGTGTCCTATGTCTTAGCTCTCAGGCCGGCCAAACAAGGCAGGTTTGTATACCAGCCTGGACACACTGCCCTGCCAGCTGCTTTTTGAAGAACCTGCAAGAACCACGCGCTCTGCCACCAGGGGGCGCTCTGCCATGGCCTGCTCTGCATGTGCTGGGCTTCAGGGGCTTCACCTGCGCAGGGTTCTCTTACAGCTCATTCCAGAGCAGCTCCCTGGACTGACAGGGGCGCTTGTGCTTTGGATGTTTATGCATTTATAAAGACAAATACATTTGTAAGAGTTTAATATAAAAGTTTTGTGAGTATCCTAACTGTTGTTAGTTTAGGTTTTTGGTAGTGTTTTTTTCCTAATCCTGTCAGCTTCCTATCTGACACAGAGAGTGTAGGAGTATTTGGCTAAAGTGGCTGATGAGGTGGTTCAGAGTAGTAGGGGGTATTTTAGAGCTCTGTTTGTCGTGCAGTGGATAATTTGCTTTAAGCCGCCTGTCTGAACTCGTTGTGGATGCAAAGCTCCGTTTGTGTTGTACGTTCCCGCAATGCAGTGTTGTCAAAGGGGGTGTCCTGTTGGATTGGGGGTTCACCTGGTGCCAGCTCCTCTACACTCTCAGCAGCCCCAGCCAGCTGTTGGCTCCTGACCCTTACAGGCAGCTTCTCTTAGAGAGCGGAGCTACTGGAGGAATTTCAGTGCTTGTCCCTCACCTTTCCCGCCCTTAAAGACTCACCAGCCCAGCCACAGTAGCAGCTCAGGGTGGCGAAGGGAGGGGGTGCAGCTGGGCAGGCCAGGTGGAGTGCGGCTGTTTGGGGGAGCAGTTTTCTCTGCCAGCTATTCTCTCCGTGACCCGATTGAAGTCCGACACTGACCAGTACCTTCACACCGCCTCCTCTTCCTCTGGTCCGAGATGTCTGCTGCAGTGCTGAAACCGGGCTGCCTGTCAGGAGCTGTGTTGGCAGCTGGCTGTGGCTGAGCTTCGGGGTCACGGGAACCGGCGGGGAGCAGGGATGTGTGTCTGGGCTTGACCCCGAGGATAAGGACAATCGGAGCTGTAGAACAGGGGGGCGAGTGTAGGGGGTGACAGTAGAATTACTGAAGTATTTATATAAATGTTTGTGTATAAAATAAAACGTATACTTAAGGTGGCTATTAAGATTTTATGAAATCATAGCATCCAGTGATAAAGCTAAAGCACTGCCTCCGAGCCCATGAGGGAGCGGGCGACGCGGGCGCACACGGCTCGCCAGGCGCGAGCCCAGTTCAGACCATTTTGTATTAAACCACCTTTGAAGCAGCAGGTTTGCTATGAATGTGTTTGGGCTCGCGCCTGCCGGGGGTGTGTGCGTGTGTTGGGGGGGGGGGGGGTGAGCGGGGTACATATGCAATAAAAAGTCGCCCACTGGATGGGAATTGGACTGGGCCGCTGAGCCCCTCTGGGGTCCCCATGACGGGCAGGTGGGCGAAGCTCCAAGAAAAGATGGCTGACCCCAATGCTGGGCAAGTGTCTCTGCAAAGCTTTCTCTCCAGGTGGACGTTCAGCAGCTTGGGGGGGGTTTCGGCTTCGCTGCCCCGAGTGGGTAAGCGGTGTGGATTCGAGCACCGTGTTACTGGGTGGGAGGGGGGGCTCTTAAGGGCAATGCGACAGTAACTCCAGTTTTACAGACTATCATTGCAAAGCAATACCATAAAGTCAATATTTGAGAAATTAAAGATCCAACGTTTCCCTCCGGAGATGTGGCTGTTGATCTGATCCCTCTAGATGTTTGTGTTTTAAGTACTTGTTTTTGCTTGTATCAATCAGTGGGGAAATGTGCATTTGTAGGAGTAGCTGTTAAGCTTTTCTAAGAACAATCTTGACTCGCTCGCATGCATGCCAGAATCTTGTTGTAAAACTGTTTAGAGAATTTTTAATAAAATGAATCAGTTTTGTAAATGTTAATTATAGTCAGACTGTTTTAGGATAGCAATACATGACTCTGCCAGACTCCCACGCCCGTCAGAAGTGGGAGCCCAGCCAGTGGTTGCAGAGCAGTCGGCCTCAGTCCCAGAATCCACATTAAAACGAGGTACTTCACACAGTGGAACAGGCTGCGGCCTTCAGAAAGGCTGCTCTACCCCGAGGACGGACCCACTGCTCTTCACACCCTGTGGCTTGTGCTTCCACAGCAGCTGGGCTCAGTGGTGCCCCCTGCAGGCCCTCCCAGAACTGAACTGGCTCCTCCTGGGTCTGCTGCTGGGGATACAGCTTACAGGTTTTTTTAAAGCTGTATTTTTTCTCCCCCTCCCCCCCCCACCATTGCACCCCAGATTTTAAGAGAGTGGGTTTGAGAATTTCCTCTTTGATCTTAAGATTTGTTTGCTACAACTTATGAAATGTTTCATTGTAATTTAAGTTGTACTTATCCTGATGTTTAGCTCTGTACTGTTCCATAGTGTTCCGAGCTGTGCCGGTGGCTGTCCGATAGCAATACGAGGTACTCCGTCTGACCTGCTGGGGGAGGGGCCAGGGTCAGCCCTGCCCACTTCCGCTAGGGTGCCCACACAATTGCTGCATTGCTATGTGACTTTTCTTTGATTTTGTTTTTGTTTTTTTTAGCCTGCAGGGAATATTTGTGTTTATGTGGAAAGTAATAAATTGGTATTTTATGCCTAATTCTCTTGATGATCTTTTGTTTTTTTAATGTGCCCTCCCTCGAAATGGATCAGACCCTGTTCTTGCCTGTGTGCTGCATGTTGCTCCGAGCTCCATGTGCCTCAAACTCCAGCAACACGCTTCAGATCTCCAGTGCTCCTTACGCCGTGAACGAATGAGCGGGGTGGTGTCAAAGCTGTTAATGGAGATGTGAAAGGCTTTCAGTTTATGCAGTGTTTCGTACCAAACTGTTATGATACTGTGTCCATCTCCTAGCTTTAGCTTGCTGGATTGAGAGACTGCTGCAGGACCCTTCCTTTTTGAAGTGAGCATCTTTCACAGTAGTGATACAGCTGACAACACCCGGCATCAAAGGGAGCGACGGTGTCGCTGCAAGTCTCTGCACAGGCAGGAGGTCGATGTGGGTCAGAAGTGCTGTTGGCCAGGCCATGACATGACAGGGCTGTCCTGCGGCCCGGGCCTGTGCTCTGCAGCACTGCTGGAGGAGGAAACTGTACTACCAGCTCTCCTGTTACTGTGTGACTGTGCAGCAGTTAGACTACCTGTAAGTGGGGAAGAAATTCTTTCTCTGTTTTGTGTATTTAATAAAAATAAGATGCATTTAAAAACCTTTTCAAGTCCTTGCGGGAAGGGAGTTGTATAGCTATGTTGTTGAGAAGATTTATATCCTTCCCTTTTCTAACAGCTTCTCCAAATTCAGGGTCACAGGGGAGCTGGAGCCTAACCTGTAAGCACAGGGCAGGGTACAGCCTGGACAGGACGACGGCCCATCACAGGACACACACTCACACACTCGCAACAGGACACACTCACTCACTCACTCACTATCTCTCCAGGGCCAGTTTTCCCAGAAGACATTTACCTCACCAACATGCCTCCAGGTGAGAATATTCGCTTTACGTGAAAGTCGTAAATAAACTTGGTGTGAATTTATCCGTGATGACACATCAGTGGGTGTCCCTATGCGCAAGCACTTTCTGACAGGGTGCAAAGTGCTTAAATGTAAACATGAAACTTACCCAGCAAACACACATACTTTCAACCCTGCTTTCATGGACTAGTTTTTTGAAACTTGTTTAATTTTAAAAATGTCAGTCTGCCTGAGCTCTGCTTCTACAGTAAATACCATCCACTTTAAAGCCTAAAATAATTGAAAACACTTAGTTATGCACATATACACTGTGTTACTGGGACTTAGTCTTTCCAGAGCATTTGGCTACTTCCAGAGAGAGATGTTTCTCTGTGTTTCACCTTGAATACTCAGTGATAAATACACAAACACAGAGTTAATTACTTCCTGCGTTGTGCTGGAGCCCAGAAGGACACAGAACAAATCTGAGAGGTGGCTTCCAAGTTTAGCTCTTAGACCAGTTTCCTCCCAGTTCAGCAATCTACTCCAGCAGAAGTACGGTCTCAAGGTTTCTGTTGTGATGGTGAAGTTGATCTCAACTGGCATTGCTGGAATAAAGTACTTCTAATTATTTCAGGCAATAAAAACCGTGTCAGTTTTTACAGACTCGATTAATGACCACTTATTACACAGGAAATACGGCGTGAGCAGTGCTAAGCGTCTGGTGCATCTTTCCCAGAGGCTTTTGAGGGGATAAAAAGGACCAACCTCGTGAAGCGAGCGGGTCGGTCCTCCTCGCCGCCAGAGGGCGCCGACAGCAGCGTGTCAAACGCCCCTGCCGCCTGTCTTTTAAGGAATGAGCTGTGCTGCGGGTTGGCGTGTCTTTGTTCCGCTGTGGAGTCCGGAGCGAGCGGAGAGCGGTCAGCCCGCAGAGCCCAGCCGGGACGCAGCTGAGCAGGGAGGCCGGGACGGCAGCGCCAGCCTCCTCGGAGCATCCCGAGATCTGCGGACGCGCATCGCCCAGCCGGCGGGGTATCGGCACCTCCAGGCGCCCGTCTCGGCTGGGGGTCCGATCGGGGACCGGGGTCCGGGGAGCCCACCAGCAGGTTGGGAACAAGGATACGGAGCCGTCGGCGGTGCAGCCGGGGGATCTGTGAGGAAGACCGGGACTTTCCTAGGATCGGCTCCGCAGAGTGAATGGGATGGAACCGGGGCCATCTGGAGCAGGTGAGCCGCTTAGACGGGGTCCAGCGGGACCGTGCGGGCAGCTCCGGGTTCGGCGGGGGAGACTGGACCTGCAGGCGGAGCCCCCGACCCTGACGGGCCGAGAAAGCGGCCAGACTGGTTCGTGTGCCCTAGACTGGGGGGAGGTTGCTGGTCCGGGCAGGGTGACAATGGGAATGCTAATTCGGGGGCAGGAAGGCTGGGGTCACATGCGGGGGCGGGGGTCATGCAGCTGAGGAGACTCGGGTCCGACCCGCGCTCTGCACACGCGAGTCAGGTGAGAGGGGCGTGTCGCGAAGTTCGCACGCTGGAGCGGCAGACCTGACAACTTCCAGCGCTGTGGGCAGAGGGTCTGGGCGCCGCGGTGAGGCAGGTCAGGTCCGTGGAGAGCGGGTCTCCGGCGCTCCTGGCTGGTTAACTGCGGGAATCAGGCTCGTCGGCAGCTCAGATCGGATGACAGAGCCGATGCCTCCCAGGGTAGCACTGGCAGAGCTCAAATCTAACTTTCACTGGTTCACACCTTTCTCTGTTCCTACTTATCAGTGATGTTTTTCCATGTCGTGGCTTGACGTTCTCTGCCCTGGCTTCTGTCCGGCTGGGCAGTGTGGTGTGTCCTGTGCCCACAGGGGTGTGTGCTGCAGGCTGCCCAGCGAGCGTCACCAGGGCTCTGGCTCTGTGGTCTGTAGACCAGTGTAAGTGCCGATGGGCACTAGTGGACACAGGTCTGCTGCTGTGTGTGAGGTAGACGTGCCCTGGGAGTGATGTCAGACGCCTGCCTCGCTGCTTCAGCTGTTAAAATGTGTTCTGCAGCTCAGGTCACGCACATGACGGGGTTCACCCCAGAGCTCACTGCTTCCCTACGTTTGCTCTGAGTCTCACACTTCACCTGGTGTTTCTGGCTGCTGGAACATGCTACATGGTGTCCGGGGTTGTTGCAGAGCCCATGTTTCTGTCCTTATTGCTTTCTCGCTGGCTGTTCCCAGGGTGGTGTTGGACAGAATGCTATGGAGAAACGAAACATCTTATTTCTTGTCACAGCTGAAACACAGTTTCTGTGCCAGTTTCCCTCTCTTGTCCTCGTTGATTTTCATTCCTCCTGGCCTGTTCAGTACTGAATCGGTTTGATTGGCTGGGTTAGACTGGTCCAGATGAGCCCAGTTCTGCTGGTGCTGGGAACTGCTGGACACTGTGCTGTTTTGTCCCTGTGAGACAGATGAGGCCTGAGCCGGTGGTCCTGCTCGCTGCTCTGGTCCCCCCGAACTGCCTGAACGGCCACTGCCACCTGGTCTGCAGTCATGGGGGAACCCCGGGTCCCCAGAAAGCTGCAGGTCTGTGCTGCTGTGTTTGCCAGTGTGAGTCACTGACCTGCGCTTTGGTGGAGTCCCTGTGATCCCAGCTCCCCGGCGACAGGGGGTCCTGGTTGGGGGAGAGCAGGTTGTTGGGACAGAGCCGCTGTCTGGCACGCTGGCGCTGTCTGTCGGGTCTGTGGCTGCTGTGTCTCCGCGTCCCTCTGCCAGCTGGCTGTGTGGCTAATTGCTGAAAGGAGGTGTGAGGGACAGGACCTGTGTGTGTGTGTTCTGGCAGGCTCTGCCCCCTCCCCGGGCCCCCGAATCTCCATGACAATGGGCGTCTCCATGCGTCTCCATGGAGCGGCCAGGAATGTGGCGGGGGGCCGGCCGGCTGACCCGAGCAGCTCTCTCTCAGGCACAGAGATGGCGTTGCGCTGCCGGGCGGCAGTGTGCCAGCCCCTCCAGGCGGAGATCTTCCTCGGCCTCCTTCAGGCACACCCTGACGCTTTTATCTCCAGCCCCACACGGCGCGCGAGTCCTGACTGACAGGCTGAGAGCTTGGCTCATCCCCAGGGAGTGACCGTGTGGGCTGAGTCCACTCAGGGAACCACGTGAAAATCATTCCCAGTTAAATTATTCCCATTGTCAGCCTCGGCTCTTGTAAAAGGAGAAACCGATGGATTTAATGCCGCTGCTTCTTTAATTTAATGCCGTCTTTTCAGGCGCAGCTGTCGATGCGGTTTTAACAGATTTTCCTTCTCTCTGCTTCTCCTCACTCCTTCACCTGCTCCTTCTCTCCTCCCTGCCTCTCC